AATGTAACCTGATGTGTAAAACAACAGCCAAAAACTTCTTATATTGCTTAAACCTTTGACTGCCCATAGGAAACTGCTTTCAAGGACTAATAATACTGGTTACTCTATGTAAGAAATAAAAAAATGTACTACTGTCATTATGAACACAGCTAAAGCATCAATATCTTGTTGCGTTTAAATCAACACTGTTTGCATTATAGAACTGAAGATTGTGGTGTGGATACAAAGATAGATAAGTTATGGAAGTGTCTATGTAATTGAGCGTAGTTGTAAATGCCCCCAGTGGTGAGCCATGGAAACCGGCACAGCATATTATGAACATTTAAACTACCTGATGAACATAATATTGCGGACTCTAAACCAATGCTGAATATAGGTCTTTTATTTAGGGGGGTCAACTATACACATAATCTCCACTCCTGCCAGGCATCAGGATTAAAGTACGATCACAGTTTTTCGTTGGCTGATCGTAGTTTTTAGACGTAATCGAGACTATAATAGGTATTATGTAATAGGTTGCTTATGGGACGACGTGCTCCATCGTAGACCGCATCGTCGCTTACCACCAGGTGAGGTAGTGAAAAAAGGTCAGCTTATCAATTATAAAAAATGTAATATGTTTTTTATATATGTTTTCAAAATTATCAGAAAGAGAACGATTTCTTGAAATGGGACTTTGCAGAACTTTATAGTTCACTCTCTAATAAAAATTAACTAATAATAAATCATGCAAAATATTTTCAGAAAACATTATTATTAATAGTACTAGCTTTAACCAGCGGCCACTGTTCAATGTAACACCCACTTTTCACTATTTATGTTATGAGTCCCATGTAATAGGGGGTGAGCCTATTGACATATCCGGGCACAATTCCAGACTCCGTGCTACTACTGAGTTTTTTTTTAAAGTACTAGTTACTTTGCCCGACCTGGGAATCGAACCCGCGACCCCTTGCCCGGCAGTCGCACTTGCGACCACTCGGCCAACGAGGCACTCAAGTAAGTAGTTATTATATATGTACGAAATATACACATCTGCTTAAGCCCTTGGGGAATATCATACGCTAGGTACTTACATGTTTTATTACACGCCAATTCCAAACTTAATGCTACTTTAACAAAACCTTTTATCTTTATTAGGCAGATATATGGATTCTTAATGGATCACAATGCGAAATTCATGTACTTTGCTAATGCTATTCATTTTTCTCTCATATTATATTGACGTATGTCATTAATCGCGGTAATGAAATGTGGTAAATTAATCTTTTGTATTAAATAGTAGAACGAAGGATTACTTTTTAGTGAGGTTATTGATTATGTACATACAAATTCGAATTTCGCTCTGTCTTTATGGGTTTTTAAAATTAGCTGTATTCCATTCCATGCAATCTTTACAAACTGAAATTGTATACAATGCACGAAGTCCAAATTGTAGGTACCCTTTTTTGAGGGGCGAAAATCATTGAATGGCTTCGCCCGCTCGGGAGAGGTGGAAGGGAGTGTCAGACTCTTACAGGCTAAAAACCACTCTGTTCCTATTCCTGCACTTCGAGCCGGAGTCCCGGTAACCTGTTAAGTCTTTCGCGGCTCCGTATCGGTATCAGCCCTATTGGACCCCATTTGTAGTGTGATGGCCCTTTAAGATACGCGGGGACCGCGACGTGCCGTACGCTCGGGAGAATGGTATCCTACCCAGAATGTCACGGAGAACCTAACGGGTAACCGGAACTCCGGCTCGACGTGCAGGAGAAGGAACGGGGTGGTTTTTAGTCAGTAAGAGTCTGACACTCCCTTCCGCCTCACCCAGGCGGGAGCAGTCATTCGATGATTTTCCCCCCTTAAAAAAAAATCCTACCCAGAATGACATGGTATGGCAATAGATTCGACTAATATTACATGGAATTAATCACACATCGACATACCTAGTGAAAAATAGGCAGTTAGCCTTCGAATCGTCGACGAAGCTGAAGAAAAAGGCAAAACCTCCGCTAAACGTAAGTGTCACCAGGGACGGACGCAGCGGTTAGTGTGTTAAACATATTAGAGGTATACACCTCTGTATACCTCCTTAGGGACTAAACGAAACGACGTACGTGCTGGTAAGAATGTTTGTTTAATTTTTACTTAATAGTATCTACCTATTCTATTTTCATCTTAATTGAGTCTGTGAATTATGTCACTATGAAAAATAATTATTATAAATTCTGTTTTAAGTCTGAAAATTTGAATAGCTTGATAAATTCCAACGGATTGATTGACACTTTAATATTAATCTTTAAAACAAAAAAAAAAAACTGAAAACAAAAGATTATTTTTTAATTTGTAACAGAATTTTATTTTTTTCTATAAATTTTAAATAACTCATTCTATGTTAATTGAATTCTTTTCATCATTGATGGATGGCGTTACTTTTTGTTACTGAGTTCCAATTTAAAAAATTAAAAATAAATCGTTTATGTAGGCAAATGGACGAGTCACTTAATTCTTTTTTCGAAATCTTTCTTAATGTTTTTTTTAATGACTAAATTAAAATAGGTGATAATGCTTTTTAAGTAAAGTGAGTCAGTTAAGGTTTAACTATTTTTGAAGTATGTACCTAGTTTTTGAAGTATGTGATAATCTATTACTTTTAAATTTCTCCTTTCGCGTAGTTATACCTGCTTTGCTCGGCTTCTATAGGTATATATAGTGTGAAGTTTTGTAGCTTATAGCCTTCGTTGATCAATGCACTATCCAACACAAAAATAATTATTCAAATCGGACCTATAGTTCCCGAGATTGGCGCGTGCAAACAAACAAACAAACACAGATCTTCTGCTTTATATAATAGTACATCATCTCATACGATCATCCAGGTAAGTCTTTTTTCCAGTCGTTCTCTTCATTACTGAAGGTCGTGTCTAGTCTGGTGCACGCGTCACTTGATGCACAACCCTCCAAACGCCGGCGGCCGGCCGGTGAGGTTTCTTACAGCATCCAACCACTGGGTAGGTGAGCGACCACGAGGTCTTTTCCCGTTAAATTTAAAGTTAACCCATTTCTTTTCCAGGTACTAGACGGTAAATAAAACAAGAATTGTACTAAAAGTGCCACATCCAGTCCACACCAAACATCTTTGATTATTTATTTAAGTAGGAAAAAAAATCGTTTCGCCAGTTTTCATGAGATAGCTGTTCAAATATTTGTGATATTTTATACAGACGATAAAAACGTCATTAAGGCTACATTGTAAGGGAAACGAGGAAATTACACTCCCTTGCGATTTGGGAGGGAACGGCAATATTGTTAATCAATTGTCAATAAAAATGTGAAAGATTTGTCAATAGCATTACATTGTTACCTACCTACCTCTTCGACTGCCTCGTTGGCCGAGTGGTCGCAAGTGCTGCTGCCAGGCAAGGGGTTTGATTCCCGGGTCGGGCAAAGTATTACTGGGTTTTTAAAAATACTCATTAGTAGCACGGAGTCTGGAATTGTGCCCGGTATATGGCATTAAGTGCCGTAAAGTGTTATGTTATGTATGTTATGTTGTTGCATATGAATATACAGGGTCATTAGTGAAACACCGACATCCTCATTTTTATTTTTATGTCCGGCTGGTAGATTATTTCAAATCATTACACACGTATTTTTAATTTTCTTACAGAAACGAATACTTTCGACGATATATTGATTTGAAATGTCGAGTGACGTCACTTCTATGTACATTTTACACGTAGAAATGACGTTTTAGCCCTCACTCCTAAACTTTGATTCGTTTTATCTAAGTATTATTCTATTATACGACAAAACAAAAAAATACGTGTCCTTTTTTTTTCATTACCTAACTTACGGACTGACTAGATTTTTAATTTTCATACCCTGTCATCATCCCAATTAACAACTTTTGTTCTATGATTATTTGATTTATGAAAATGTTAAACATTTACCAAAAACAATTCTTAAACATTTTGTTGTCCTATCTAACACATTTGACCTCTGTATTGTGCTGTACCAACATATTTTTTTTTTTTTGATGACGGGGGTATCCTTCAATAGGCGCCTAGCTTTTTGGGGAGGAGTGTGGGATTCTTACCTCACCGTACCCTGGTGGCCACCCTCAGCATCTGTAAGGGGAGTCTCCGGGTCCTCTGAAGAGACTAACATACCTACGCTTGCCGCACACTGTCCTAGTAATAATACTGTTTGGTTAATAATTCGCTTTGCTACGATCTCGCCTTTTTGAGCAAAAGCCAAAAGATACCTAAATTCTGACATTAAATATGGAAATGACCTTAATATTTTATGCCACCTCCGCAATAAGGACCATAATAAAAACAAACTACCAATGAATTTTCACAGTTTTCTGTAACAATTGCACCATTTCCGTGTACTCGAAATTGAAATATCGATATTTTTTTAAGGGACAATCCCGCCACAACCTCCCAAAATCACTGCAACTCCTGTAAGCCATGATCTACAGTAGATACAACCATGAAAACACCGGAACACTGAAGTACGGCGCGTCCTAGGGACATACTGAGTAACTGTCTTGGTTCCCGCAACGAAGTGAATCAGAAGATATTATAAGTAAGAGGAGAAGATAAAAAAACGCTAGTTTCCATTTCCCCTTGAAATATCGATATGCCATCATATATATAAAGACTAACTTTTACCCGCGGCTTCGCTCGCGTCACAAAAGGATAAAAAGCCAATGTGACATTACCAATACACACAGCGCCATCTATACCAATACTTTTGTTTTCCCTCGGGAATATCAAATTTTTCCGGGATAAAAAGTACCCTATTATTTAATCCGGACTTCTAACTATACATCTGCAAAAATTCAAAGCAATCGGTTTAGTAGTTCGGCGTTAAAGTGGAACAAATAAACAAGCTCACTTTCCGATTTATAATATAAGTAAGGATAAGGATAATTACGTCCGCACCACCGAATTTCATAATATAATCATAATATTTCGAAATAAATAAAAATCAAATTCCCTGTAATCTCCCATTTAATCCAAACTTAAAGTTCTAAAAGTACCAGCCATGCCCATGTACTGATCATTGAATTTGTCTCGTTGTCTTTTAGTTTCATCAGTGCGAGCTCTGTTCATCTCCTTCATTATTGCTTGTTGTTGTACTGAACTTAATTGCTTGACGATTTTTTCTGAAAAGTAGAAACAACGTGAAAGTTACGTCTTCATTTTATATACATTTTGTTATTTAGGTACCCCCCAATTAACCCCCCTTTCCCCAATCCCTGAATCCCCAACAATCCTCAAATTCCTAATCTAGAAGGCTGGTAACGCACTTGTAACGCCTTTGGTGTTCCAGGTGTCCATGGGCGACGCCGATTGCTGACCATCAGGTGATCCGTCTGCTCTTTTACCGGCTTATCCCATAAAAAAAAATACCGTTATCTTTCTATACTTAAAATAAAATCGTTGCAAAGACAAAAGTATACATTGAATATTTTATAAAAAGAATACTTAGGGCGTGATCTGCAATCAATACCGAAGCCAATAATATAGTTTTTAAAATAAGTCAACAAATTGAAAAAATATTAATGACACTATTTTCCAAAATATTGAGTCATGGTCCAAGTCTGGTCGAACACATATTTAATGTTCAGGAAAAGATTCACTCTTCTATCAAAAGAATTGTTCAATTTTTGTCTCCACTTAACCTTTTAGCTACCAACGCTAGAAGTTGAAGCATCACACTGAAATATACGAGGTGTAGTTTTGAAACCGTGTCATTTCTCGGGGGCATGTCACAGAAGGCATAAAGGTTCAATGTATGTAAAAGTTTCGGGCCAATAGTTAAAAATACGGCTATAATAAATCGTTTAAGTTCGACATTACTTCAGAATAAGCGATAGCAATGTTTCTTATTGGAGTTTTATGGAATTAGGAATAATATCAGTTACGTGTTTGAGTTTGTGTGTTAAGCCGCTTTTTAAAACTAATTACAAGACGGCGGCGTGTAGTTCGCACTTACGGATTTCCGTAATTTACAGAAAAATGAAAAATATTTAGGTACCTACAATTTTTTTTATTGTTAGTGTGAGTTACCTCCTTGAAAATGACGCGGCTTTAAAACAACACCTTGTATTAGCAATACTAGTTTCTATCTATCTTGATGGGACATAAACTGCAAGGTTTAAGTGCGTGTATAAACTATCTGGCTTCCCATCAACCGCTTCATTTCTCTGCACTTCCCTATGGTTGACTGTCAGAAAATGCCTTAAGGCACTAAGTCCGTCACTCACTGTATTTTTTTTTGTGAAAAAGTTAAAAATATACCTCTATAATAACTACTGACCATGTAAAATTGATAAAGAAGGTGCCTTCCCACCATATTCTTCTGGAAGTATTTCTTCTGGCAGTAACTCCCTCAACGCTTCCAAATTCGGAGCCACGTGCAACCTACTAGCTATCTTCTCAGAGAAGAATGGTTTTACGATCTTAATGAAGCCATCAATGAATTTAGAACTGGTTAGGTATATAATCCCTTTTATTTTCGTGCCGTAGCCTTCCTGGAAAATAAAAAAGTCGATTGTCAATAGGGCGTATGACATTTTTTCTCACTAGATGCCGCTAGTGTGAACCTCTCGATCTTCGTTCAATAGGGAATTAGTTGGTGTCACACCATTGGACGTTCAATATTTGACAGCTGCTATGATTGGTTAAAAAAAACACCGTCCTACATTTGTGCCATGTGGTGAGCAAAAAACCTTTAGCCTCAATTTGGTGAACGTGTTTTTTTACTCTTATGATATTTTTTTATTTGGTTGGTTGAATAGAAAATGTTGGTCAGTGGGTCGTCTTAGGGACAAGGAGTTTAGGACTTAATTCATCAAAAATTAAAATTCTTATAAATGGCTAATTTTTCATTTCCATCACTTAGTATATACCTAATAATAAAACGAAAATCATCTGGACACCTTTTGTCTAGGACTTCAGGTTCACCTGAAAATGAGCTCTAAAGGTCATTTGGCGGAGTATGATAGGATAAGTCCTCACGCATAGCGCCCCTAAGACTATACTCTAACCAAAATGTTCATGTAAGTATGTAATTTTTAATGAAATGAATTGTAAAGGATGTCTGTAAATAGTCTTCTAGAATCTTGCTTTCTAGTTCTACTAGAGTCTGCCAGCGGCTTCGCTCGCGTTCTCGTGGGTTAAAAAGTCGCCTATATAATATTCTTGACTATAATCTACCACTGTTCCAAATTTCATTCCGATCTGTTCAGCCGTTCTGACATGAAAGAGTAACAAATACACACACTCACACAGTATGTCCTCACAAACTTTCACAATTATAATATTAGTATGATTACTTTAACTTACAGTAAGTATTGGTAGAAACTGTTGCAGTTCCACTAAATTAAGTTTGGAGATTATGTCAGATGGATTAACGTCCATCAGGTCAACTATAAGTTTGTATCCGCGGCAGTAATCGTTGCTCTTCAAATATTCAGCTACCTGTAAATTAAAACAAATGTTAACAAGCTCCCACTGAATAAGGTAACTATCCTATTGTTTATGTCAAAGTCAAAGTCAAAGTCAAAATCATTTATTTCAATTAGACCAGTAAGGCACTTTTGAACGTCAAAACAAAATATTTAAATATTAAATAATAAGAAAAAATAAGAAAAAATGTCAGTCTGTAGGTCAGTCCACTAGTGAAGCTATTTGCTCGTTCCAAAGTGTAGATTCCTATGGAGAAGAACGAGCAAGAAACTCCATAGGTTACTCTTTTTCAATCATGTTCACAATAAAATTTTTGGTTACATTCTTCCGTTGAGTTCAATAATGTGAGAACAATGTAATACCAATATTTGGTCAAGGAGACGAAACCACCTGGTAGATTATTTTAAAACATTAGACATGTAGGTATATCTTCTTGTTGACAATAAATTGATTAGAAATAATCGTGTGACGTCATGATTTACCATATTTTATAGGGAGCAGTGGTGTAGCGACTTGTCACTCACTAAGTCACTACTATGAATAGGACAAAATAAAAAAGTACGTATCTAATTAGATTTTTACTTTTCATACCCTGTCTGCAGCCTTATTATTAAACTTTGAAATACACTAACCACGATCATCAAAACCAAATAGAGCAATCCACTAATAGGTAGGACTGATAATACAAATTAATTGGTAAACCTCATCAAAGGATGACGGGCAAACATGTATGGGAATAGGGTAGATGCCTAATTTTTATTTTAATGTCCGTCTGGTAGATTATTATAAATCATTATACACGTATTTTTTATTTTCTTACAGAAACGAATACTTTCGACGATATATTGATTTGAAATGTCTCGTGACGTCACTTCTATGTACATTTTATACGTAGAAATGACGTTTTAGCCCCCGCTCCTAAACTTTGATTCGTTTTATCTCAGGATGGTTTTATTATACGACAAAATAAAAAAATACGTGTCTAAAATTTTTTCATTACCTCACATACGGACTAATTACTTTTTTAATTTTTATACCCTGTCATCATCCCTATTGTATCTACCGACCAATAACGACCAGAGCCATGTCGGTAGAAAGCTCATTTCATGACCATCATTTGTTACTATGGGGGCTAGTCTCTATTCTATTAAAGAACATGGAGTAATGTTCTGCCCGTCATCCTTTTCAAATAGGTAAATATATTATCTTTCATTGAACTGAAACCAAGGAGGTCTGTTTCCATCTTTAAAAATAAAAATACGTTTTAAAATAGAGTCTTAAACACAATCTTATCTTACGAATACACAATATAACAAACACGTTTAGATATTTTAATATTTCTCAGAGATATAAGTAAACAACTTTATTAAATATCTATTTGCATTAACATAATATTATAAATACAAATAATATATACTTACAACCACTATAAATTTGAAGAGTTGTTCGAAATATGTAGACTTGATATCTATAGTTGACTTGAGTTTGAGTACTGAAACCCTGTGGTAGTCTTTGGTTAGTGTTGGTAGAATCGCGAAATATCTGGAAACAGAAACAAAATTCTACTATAATTCCTGCTGATTGAGGGGTTTTGGTTTTGATTGTCAGGTCTTTTTTTAAAGGGTGAAATCATTCATTGACTCTCCCGCCCGGATGAAGCGAGGGGGAAGGTCAGACTCATACTGGAAAAACAACCCTATTCCTACTGTGTACCCCTTAAGTCCACCGCGACTCTGTATCGGCATCAACCCAATTGTGCCCCATCGGTGGTTGTCTGATGGCTCTTTGAGGCTCATACGTGACGCGCCGTACGTTCGGAATTCTCAATTCTGGCAAAGAAATCCCGGGAATTTTTGGTTTCCAGTAATTTGTAGTAATACGGAAAAACCGACGGATCTCAAAATTATTTGGAAGAAGGTTTAGCAGTGGATGATTTGTGACTGATATGATGATGCCAATGATAATAATGATGAGGTAGACCACAACATCAGGATTTATAGAAAATGCTTCTCCTCGATTTATCAGAGCCGACTAAGACGCTTAGCCGGTCAGGACACTCGTAAATAATCGGTGTTCGGAAACCTCTCGAACATATCGATGGCGTCGACGAAGGCGGCATTTGCGATGGCATCAGAGGAGACAGCGCTGCGCGGGGAGCAACCATGTACGAGGATCGCGCGCGACCCACATTATTCACCCGATCAGCTGTGAGCACTGTACGCGTCGCGCGCCGTCTAAACACATACTTACCTACTGTTGAATAAACCAGCACATGCTGATGCTGATTTCAAGGTATAGCCTTGCATTTATACAGCCCAAGAAATCTCCCTCACTCCCTAAGTCGGAATGGTAACAAATTGTAATCAACACACGATCACTTTTGTACTTACCCAGCATGTAAAATAGGAGTAACATCACTGTCAAGTATGTTTATAACTTGGAAGTACTTTGGAACTAACGTTTTGAACGTGGCCAATTTGTCAATCTGTTTTTTTGTCCTTTCTAGAGAACTCTTGCTTGTTATTATACACCTTTCTAGGTAGGCTCTATCTGGAAATAAAATAACTGATTGGTACCTACATTGACATCACGGAAATTTAATGACACGGAGTTATTCAATTTCGGCTTGGTCTAGAGGTGAGAAGTATGTGGGCGAGCCATACTTCGGAATGGGCCGGCTCGTCCGGAGTGATACCACGGCCTCACACAAAACCGACGTGAAACAACGCTTGCATTGTGTTTCGTCGTGTGAGACCGAGAGGTTATCGAAGGCTTAATTACCACCACCCCCCCCACTCTCTAATCTCCCCAATCCATTAATACCCAACAATCCACATATTCCTAATCCCCAAAAGGCTGGTCACGCACTTGTAACTCCTCTTGGAGTTCTGGGTGTCCATGGGCGACGCCGATTGCTTACCATCAGGTGATCCGACTGCTCGTTTATCCCATAAATAAAAGGCGTAACTATAGTTTTTATTTCTTTTCCTCTATTAATACCTTCTGAGTTATTTCGTTGCGGTAACCAAGACAGTTATTCATGTTCCTGGAACGCGCCGGACTTCAGTGTTCCGGTGTTTTCATGGTTGTATCTACTGTATGTAGATCCTGGCTTACAGGAGTAGCAGCGGTTTTGGGAGGGTGTGACGAATTTATATGTCAAAAAAAGGCTTTTATGCCAAGTAAGCACTTACCAAAATCTTTTTTTACTAAATGATCCTGTGATTTCAACCATTTTTCTATAATAGCGATAGCTTCGTCTCTATCCTCTTTCTTATCAAAGTTATGTTCTCTTCTGATCTCTTCTACTACTTCTGGTCCGAATCTTATGAAGTGATCCTCCGGTTCTCTGATTGTGTCGTCCATTTTGGTACTTATTTCAACTTCTGAGATCGTCTTTTCTGAAAAGATATTAAATATTAATTTAAATAAAATAGAATGAAATTTATTACTATATAGCATAACATCAATCAGTTTGCATTTGCATAGCCATATAATGACAATTTTTTTCTTAGATCAAATTACATTTAGTACATAAGATATCATCACGCCTCTTATACCCAAAGGAGTAGGCAGAGGTGCACATTACGGCACTTAATGCCACTGTACAATGTAACACCCATTTTTTACTATTTATGTTATAAGTTTAGGATACTGACCCATAAGTAAGTCAACGTACAAATCTATCAAATTTATTCATTGGATTTTCGACTTTATACTAATATTATGGAGTTTGTTTGTTAAATTTGTCAGAAAAATATAAGTTAACCTGTTGACCACCGTACATAGTATTATATTTTACACTCCTAACTAGCCTTGTGCGGATGTAAAGACTTGGCGTTATGTTTGAAAGCAAGAAGAAAGAAAAATAATTTATTTGCCATAAGAATTATGCACCAAATACACAAACATAAAATAACAATAAAAACATAACACAACATAACATAACATCACGCCTTTTATTCCCGAAGGGGTAGGCAGAGGTGCACATTATGCCACTACAATATAACATCCACTTTTCACTATTTATGTTATGAGTCCCATGTAATAGGAGGTGATTCTATTGCCATATACCCCGGGCACAATTCCAGACTCCGTGCTACAACTGAGAATTTTTAAAAAACCCAGTAATACTTTGCCCGGCTCAGGAATCGAACCCGAAACCCCTTGCTCGGCAGTCGCACTTGCGACCACTCAGCCAACGAGGCAGTCTCAGTAACAATAAAAAGTAATAAAAAGAACAACAAGGTCGCAACATGACCATGACTAAAGGGATTGCCAACTCAGTACAAGCTGGGCACAGAAAGTATCCAACACTAGTTATCAGCTGTCACCCTTGTAATGACGCACGGACGTAAGCAACTAAAAATAATGTGAAAGGAAAATAAGGTAATACCTACTGAAAACACATCATTTTGTAAAAAAAAAGAAAAGAGAGTTAAAAAATAAATATAGAAACATATTATGTATAATGAATAAGTACACTGTGTACCGTCACCAAAGGAAACAATAATTTAAATTAAATTAAGAAACAGTGTCACATTGTTAATTATAAATTATAAAATAATGCGAAATTCTTATCCACAAAGACATAGCGGCCTTGGAAATATTATCTCTTTTAAAACAATAGATTTTTTGTAAGATCTAACTAGCATATCATTAGACACTTACGAGCAAAATAACACAAACTAGACACCATAAAAACCAAATAAAACTCAATTAAAACACTTTGATATAAAAACTGAATGACATAAAATATTCACTGCTAATTACTATTTCATTTACCTGGACAAATACAAATATAATTAACTAAAAATCGCGGGTTACTCACGTGAATATACTGAGAAAAGCTCTACTAGTTTCGAGCCACAGAGGGGTTTTTCCTAGTGAGCCGCGTGCGCGGTCGCGGCGATGTCGCGCAGCCTACTGTTTTTTTAGTTAATTTAGTATGGGTTACGATAGTTATTATAAAAACAAATATAATAATTGTCTAGATTTCCTAATACAAACAAATATGAAATGCGCATTGATAGGTTCGCAAAAATTGCTGACATTGTATTAAACAATGTGCAGACTACTAAGGTACTTACTTGATACAAGTAATTTGAGTGTTCGAGTGTCACTGACTAAGAGAATTACTCGTTAAGGCTATTACGTATTTATGACAATGCAGTAATTCACCGCTACACTGTTTAATCGACGAGGAGAGAAAAATGTAATACCAACTTTTCACCTGTCTCATTTAAATTAAAAAACCGACTTCAAAAAGCCAAAAACTAATAACCAACATAAAGTAAAAACTAAAAATCAAAAAATAATTATTAGGTATTAGTAATGTGATAGGTTAGAAGTCGGTGCCATAAGTTCTCTACAAAATTATTCATTAAAACCTTAATAGATATAATATCAAGCTGCTTACAAATTACAATAGGGATGATGACAGGGTATGAAAATTAAAAATATAATTAGTCCGTAAGTTAGGTAATGAAAAAATGTTAGACACATATTTTTTTTTATTTTGTAGTTTATGAAAACAATACTTCGATAAAACGAATTAAGGTTTAGGAGTGCGAGGTATGTATCTACGTCATTTTAGATTATAAATCGTACGCAAAAGTGACGTCACGCAATATTTCAAATCAATATAATATCTTCGAAAGTATTCGTTTCCGTAAGAAAATAAAAAATACGTGTCTAATGTTTTTAAATATTCTACCAGACGGACTTTAAAATAAAAATTAGTCATCTAACCTATTTTGTGACCAAGAAGTTATATCATTTTGACATATCCTAAGTGTAACAAACACTATTCTGAACACCGCATCAAAATCGGTTCACCGAATCGCGAGATAAATGCGCACAAACTTACAAACAGACAAACATACACACAAGCAAACTGACAACCTCCATTTTTGAAGTAGGTTAACAATGATAGATTACATACACAGACACACACACATACATACAAAATTGGTATCTTGTTACACCTTTGACGTCACAGTGTTTAGCATTCCTTACTCCAGCAATTACTTCAGTCTTGGTTGTCAAGCAAATTATTGACTTGTTTATTGAATGACGTTAATTATTTATGATGACGAAGGAGTATAATACATTTTGTCACTATGTATGCTTTTGCCGTGGGTGTCGTGTTATTGGTCGACATTAATGACCGATTTTGTTCTAAAATTTGATGTTCCAGCGACTTCGTCCGCGTAGAATGTGAATTTTAGAACGTAACTATTTTTTTGTTTTAAATTCCAAAATAAAAGTAGCCTATGTTACTCCTTAGTAAGTATAATCTATTTTATTTGCTCTATTAAATAGTTGCTTGCTTCTTGCTCACACCATTAACTCTTCTCTGCATCACCCAAAGGTCAGACTGGGAGAAAATGCCTGCGGCATTAAGTCCACCTTATGTACATTTTGTGCATGAAGCTTACAAATAAATAAATATATCGGTTAACTGCCAATAAAAGTCTTGCAAAATCGATCCACCCATTCCAGAGGTTAGCCAGTACAAACAGACAGAGTATTATATTTGTAGTATTTGTATGTAGTTTTTGACACAAACTAAATTGAGCCGTTCAAATATTACTTACCTACGTTAGCAGACCTTTACAATTATTTACCCCCCCCCCATACCCCTTGTCAGCAAAAGAAAGCTATGTTCTTACCCTTCTTTTTCATATTGTAATTTTAATATTATTTTAGATACCATTATGTCTTTTTTGTTCTTTGTCGGTATTTGCTTGTAATTTATAATTTCAAAAAGAGGGTTGTCATTCTTGTAAAAAAGTAACTAACTACCGATGACGTAATCATCATGTAGACTCCTACCCTACCCCCTATATCATTCAAAATAAACAAAACACAGACCCCCCACCCCTCATGGTGCTTACGTAACATTTGAACGGCCACAATGTCAAAAGGTGAACTGAGTGCGAAAATTTTTCTTCTCAAATCAAGTTTGAATTTCGGTCATAATAACAACAATAAGATAGATATACATAACCTTTAGAAGCCAAACAAAGTGACGTCAGTCACCGGTGACTGACGCTAGTGAAGGTTTGACTTTCAGTTTTTTAAACATATAACATCACGCCTTTTATTCCCGAAGAGGTAGGCAGAGGTGCACATTACGGCACTGACTGCTCAATGCCTCACCCAGGCGAGAGCAGTCATTTGATGATTTTCCCCCTTTAAAAAAAGGCATACATTTATCTGATCGTTTAGGTACCTATTGTATGTATAATATATGTGAGAACGATATATAACGACAATGCAACGTAAAAAATTAATGGGAGATTAGATTTGTCAACGTTTCGCAAATTGTAAATGAACTTATTTGATTTATGAATCGCCTGAGCGGCTATATTGAGTCTTCGAGAAAAGTGAGCGTCGCGTTTATTAATTATTTTTTTATATTAAAAATAAGTGTCTATTTATTATTGAGCCAGTTCTATCTATATATATAAAATTCAAAGGTGATTGACTGACTGACTGACTGACATAGTGATCTATCAACGCACAGCCCAAACCGCTGGACAGATTGGGCTAAAATTTGGCATACAGATAGATGTTATGAAGTAGGCATCCGCTAAGAAAGGATTTTGATAATTTCCACCCCCAAGGGGGTAAAAAAGGGGATGAAAGTTTGTATGAAACTTTGTCAGTTTTTAACTGATCGGGTTAAAATTTGGCATGCAGATAGATGTTATGACGTAAGCATCCGCTGTGAAAGGATTTTGATAATTTCCACCCCCAAGGGGGTAAAATAGGGGATGAAAGTTTGTATGAGACTTTGTCAGTTTTAAACCGATCGGGTTGGGATTTGGCATGCAGATAGATGTTATGACTTAAACATCCGCTTTGAAAGGATTTTGATAATTTCCACCCCAAGGGGGTAAAAAAGGGGATGAAAGTTTGTATGAACTTTGTCAGTTCTTAACTGATCGGGTTAAAATTTGGCATGCAGATAGATGTTATGACGTAAGCATCCGCTGTGAAAGGATTTTGATAATTTCCCACCCCAAGTGGGTAAAATAGGGGATGAAAGTTTATATGAGCCTTTGTCAGTTTTAAACCGATCAGGTTGAAATTTGGCATGCAGATAGATGTTATGACGTAAGCATCCGCTTTGAAAGGATTTTGATAATTTCCACCCCCAAGAGGGTAAAATAGGGGATGAAAGTTTATATGAGACATTGTCAGTTTTAAATCGATCGGGTTGAAATTTGGCATGCAGATAGATGTTATGACGTAGGCATCCGCTGTGAAAGGATTTTGATAATTTCCACCCCCAAGTGGGTAAAATAGGGGATGAAAGTTTATATGAGCCTTTGTCAGTTTTAAACCGATCAGGTTGAAATTTGGTTATGACGTAAGCATCCGCTTTGAAAGG